GGGCATTATTGCAGTCCCCGCAGCCCCTGACTGGACTAGTCCTGAGCTGCAGCACTTTTGCCATCCACGACAACTAGAAGATCAAGAACACAAATCAATTGGAGCTGTAGGACTTCAAATAAGCTCTTATTTGGGGAGCATACAATGGCTGCTAATTCTTGCACAACCTGTAATTAATTTGATCTGCAGCTTTTTGTTATCCACCACTTCCATTGTAGCCAACGCCTGTGATCACAGACAGCCTGTACAATTCTGTGGTGTCAGAGCTGTGTGCAGCTCGAGTGCTTCGGTAGGGTGTTATGGAAGTTGCTGTCCTGTGAGCTGTTTGATCCTATAGCAAGAATTAGAGAAGCTAAAGTCCTTTTTTTTTTCCTTCTTTCCTATTCCTGTTCTGCTTGAAGTGTTAACAGTAGTGGATCATTAAAAAGCATTGTTTCTGTTTCAGTTAAAACACTTAACAGGCAGCACCGCCGCTGTGTATTTGGAGTATGTTCAACGAAACCTACCCGAAGGGGTTGCCATGGAAGTAAAAAAGGTAGGTTTGCATCCTGCATTATCAGCTGCTGGGAGATCAGCAATTGTCAGTACTTGCTTCGAGGCTTGGAGTCTTTGGAAAGTCAGAGATGATGTGTGGGAGTTGTCAGGACCGTTTTCCAAATACTAAAGAGACTACTGCTCGAAAGTGCCGCTAGGTGGCATTTTTAATCAGAAATACCTCAAAACAGGAAAAATAAAGGCCAGTAGTTAGATGTTAAATGGTTGGTATAATTGACATCTTTTTTTCTTGCTTTACTTTTAGACTAGGATAGAGGCAATACCTGAGCACATTCAGAAACCAGTTTGGGATACGCTACCTCAAGTAGAAGAAACTGACATCAAGTCATGAACTCAGCAGGTACTTGGCTCCATTAGTGCTGAAATTACTTGCTTCTATCAGTCTAATTTACTGAGGTATGCTGTTAAATAAACTTCTTTTTTATAAAGTAATCTCATAAAATCATGATTCAACCACTTCTTAATCACAGCTTCAACACATATAGACCAGTTAGAAGATCAGATGTTCAACAGCAGTCTGTATCAAGAACTTGTGATATGCTTGTAAAAAGTTCAAAGCTTTCTCACACACACACGTTTGAATTCTGAAATATCTTGCAAAATTCAACTCGTGGATGAAATGTGTTTAGTGTTATGGATGCCAGTCTGTTAGACACTGTCTGCTATAGCACCCCTGAAGTAACTGTGCCCCAGGTATACACAGAGCTCACACATTAACTTGTAGCAAGTCAGCAAACAGAATCTTTCAGAGCACTGAGGTAAATTTGGACCTGTGTAGTCTCTTGCAGTTGCAGTAGCCTCCTTTGCAGTCTTAGTAACTGCTTGCCAGCAGAATAATGCAGGGACTGCAGTATAAAGCTGAGACTTTAACACGGTTAAATCCCTGTTTTAATGATGTGCTTTCAGAACAGTGACGGAGCAAATGGATGCTATAAAATATCATTGTGGAGAGCACAAACAGAACAAGAAATGTGTTACTATATTACAGGGAAAGGCATAGCCTTCTTCTAAAACTGCCTGGATTGATTGTTCTATAAATCCCTTCTAGCTGGACATTAATTAAGCTCAGAGAGGAAGAATGTGTACAGTAGTGAGAGAGGGCTCGGTTAATGTGAGGCTTAGTTCACAGTGAATCAAAGGCAGCAATAGTGAGAGCAGAGCCAGCACGGGGTTCACTCCCGAAACGAGTGAATCACTTTTACTGCTGCTAGCCTGGGGGAAGGACACGAGTGCAGGAATCACCCCAGACCCATAATACTGGTCAGTTATAAGCAAGTTGTCTTGGCAGGGGTTAAAAAAATTTAGGGAAGGAATGCACGACTCGAAGGAATGCACGACTTGGACAGCAAAAACGGGCCTGGGCTGAGTTGTACTTAGCAACAGCCCTCAAGGGCCTCTCAGCAATCACAGAGGAAAGGAAACCAGTGTCACTGCAGGACAAGGTGGACTGTCTTAGTGGGAAATGTCTGAAAGACAAGCAACCAAACTGTTTTGAAGAGCAGCTGCATTTTCTAGCCCAAAACTATTTTAAAAGGGGTATTTCAAGATAGTGATTGGACCACTTGAGATAGAAAGGGAGCTTTCTGTGCCTCTTCATAGCATGCCTCAAAAGGGAGGTTGAATCAAACCCCTCTTGGGAAGATCCACTAGCTGGTCGTCACTTCAAAGTGCTTGCTTTCTGTAATTTCAAGCTACCCCTCCTCTCCCTAATTCCCAGTATTCAATCATGCTAGCGTTTATTAAAGTCACATCAAGCATTATATAACATTTAAGGAAGAAACAGTGAACTGACCTGCTTAAAGCTGGTGCTTCAAAGGGATGATCTCTTTCAACTCTGCAGTGGTTTTTTTCATGTTTTTTAGAAGCTAACAAGAGTACTTTTGTAGCAGTGTCTTTTTTTTTTGTTTGTTAAGCTAATCTTGGCTATAGACAACATAAGGATTCAGGCATCATCTTATCAGCTGTTGTACCTTGGATCTTTTTAAAATGCTTTTATTTTTTCAAAAATTCAAAAGCTTTTTGCTGTCTTACTCCCCATATTCTCTATTTTTTCCACCTATAAATAACTTTAGTAGTACTTTAAAGAAAACTAAGTTTATTTTAATGCTTTTACGTTAATAATACAGCATAGTGACCACAGTAAAAGGAATTAATGATGTCAACTAACACCATTTGCTCCCTGAGCTCAAAAGAACTTGCAGCTTGGTTTTCAGCCCTATTACTCAGTTACCCAATATCACATATTCCAGAAACTGAAAATATAGGTCACAGTGCCAAAAAATGAATAAAGCTGTTTCTAAACTTAGTTTCTACCATCAAAATAAAAATGTCAGGATTAATATGGCTATTTGAGAACAGATGCAGAAGACAAAATCACCCAGCAGTTCTATTCTTGGCTAAATTTGTTTTACTTAAAATAAACTAGTAATTTGCATACATAAGAAAGATATTTGAATAGTTTTGTAGTCAAGGTATTTCAAGTCATTATAAGGTAACAAGAAACAGAACAAATATGCAGGATAATTTAAAGAATAGTCTCTTTAACAGCATCTACCACCTGGTGATCCAAACCGCTCCAGTCCTATCGCAGTGATGAAGAGGATGATGTCCCCAGTCTATTTGAAAGCTCTGTAAAAATATAAAATCGTGATTGTTCCCCACTGTCCCTAAGAAAATAGCTTGAAAATAACAAGAATCACAGCACTGTACTATAGTTTGGATTTAACTTTGGTTGTAGCAATCTTATGCATACTTAAAAGGCTTCGACAGCAGTTAAAAGTACCACCATGGAATCCGAAATGTTTCCTTTATTTATTTATTTATTTATTTTCCAGAAGAGTAGTACTGTTTACTGCAACTTCTTGGGTTTCAAACATTTTTTTTAAGACCTGCTCTCACTTTTAGGGGTGGAAAATGGCTTTTTTCCTCAATGAGGAGGTGATCTACCTCTTAAACTCTGTGGTCCCAGTGTTCATGGCAGGGGCAGGAGTCCATATCTGCACACGTAAGTCCTGTCATACAGGAGTTCCCGCCCCATAGTAATACGACGCATGTTAGAAAGTAACTGATTCACAGAATCCCAGAATGGGTGAGGTTGGAAGGGACCTCTAGGGATCATCTAGTCCAACCCCCCTGCTCCAGCAGGGACACCTAGAGCACGTGGCACAGGGTGGCATCCAGGCGGGTTTGGAAGATCCCCAGAGAAGGAGACTCCACAGCCTCTCTGGGCAGCCTGTTCCAGTGCTCTGTCACCCTCACTGGAAAGAAGTTCTTCCACACATTGTGATGGAGCTAGAAGAGCTTGTGGTATTTGATGAATGTGCTGATACCTGCAGACTCCCCACCCTCTGCCTTCAGAGCACTGAGTGTTCCCTAATTTGTCCTGGAGGTGGGGAAGGAGACCTGCTGTCGAGGGTGAGGGTGGAAGAAAAGGTGGCATCCTCTTCCACCACTGGGGTCAAGGAATAGTCTCATTCCTCCTACCCCTTGGCCACAATGATACCTGGCAGGGTATTTTTCCAGATATAGCTGAAGTAACAGAGTATAGCTTAATGCCATCATATATGCCAAATACACCCACTGACCTACCTGTGTGAGAGAGACTCCGTTACAATTATGCGAGTTAATTCAGGAAACATCTGTTGGTAAATTGCAGAGACCCAGCAATATAAAAAACATCCTTTGGGGCTACTAACAGAGAAAGAGTAAAGTAAAGGAGTTTCTTTTAACTCTTAGAAAACAAAATAACCTTTAGCAAGGACTCTTGCTGTTTTTATTGTTTCATCATTCTGTACTATTTTATTTTAACTCAAATTTTTCTATGGACTTTTTTTAAGATGAGGTTTAGATCTCTATTTAATACATTAACATTTTAATGTACATTTTATCAGATTACCAGTGATATTTTGTGCTTCATTTCTCTTGGTTGATGTTCACCAATTTGCAGTTAACTTTAAAAGATCTTATTGTTTTGTAGCATTTACCATAAGCCTATATATGAACCACTTTTTTTTTTTCTGCATAAAAGGTAATAACCAGTAGTCATTAAGTGTTACTGAAAAACTTTGTAAAGTGGGTTCATTATAGGTCACTTTCTCGCTGCCGAAAGATTGTATTAAACATAGTTTTGCAATCATATACAAAAATGCAGACAGATTAGCTCCTTAATACAATATTTTAATAATATCTTTCTGAGGAAGTACAGGACCACTAATGCTAAATTTCCAACGATTTTGAAATTCCTATCATACACCAAAAAGGGTAAAGAACTTCACATAACTTATGCCTTTTTAAAAAAGAAAGGCATGGTGAGACAGGGCTTAAAAGCTAGTCCATAGCCCCTGCAGGGTCCTGCGGGACACTGAGAATTGCTACGAAGGGAATAGTTGGAGTTGCAAGACTGGTGTAGGACCGGGGCAGACTGGGAGTGGAGGTTCTTGCAATCCACCTCCGCTCCTGTGCTGGGAGAGAGCTCATGTATTACCTTCGTTTTTCAGATGAGATGTGGGGTCTGGAAATAGCAGTGGGCCCTGTGTGGTTTTGCTGGGAGGAGATGATCTACGATGGTGCAACCCTCTTTCCAAACTGACTCTCTGTGCATCTGCAGGGGAAAATTCTTTCAGCTGGAGCAGTTTCCCTGGCTGCTGCTTCTGGTCTCTATCACAAAGATGGGGAGATCCTCCTTGAAAATATGAGAATACACGCTGAAATGAGGAAAAAAAAATCGGCCTCCCACGAAAAGAAAAGGCCAGATTAGATAAGTACTCAAGAGGAAAATGGCCCAAGTGGCTACTGCACTGACAAATGAAATGAGACAAAAGAAGCAAGACAGTAAGCTTGCTGAGAGAGAGGGGTTTTGTTTAGAGCAGCGCAGGTCTCTGAAACAACAGAAGGAGGTTTTGCAAGCCACACATCTCATGTCTCTGGAGCACACCCCGCAGATGAAAGCACAGTGAGGAACTGCACAGGTAGCAGCAGCAGCCTGCTGCTGACGGGACTTAACCACATGGCCGCTCACAGAACTAGGTCAGCAGAAGAGATTAAAGGTGATGCTGGCATTTCCCTATATTAATGTCTGAATGAAACACGTCTGCAATACGAGACGCTTGTGAGTCGGAAATTGAAACGGGAAAATTGTTGGTTATCTGTTGCTCTAGCAACTAAAATCACCAATTACATAGTTTAATTTATTCGTAAGTGCAATGCATGTTTGCGATTTATTCAGCTTAAAATTTGTGGTTCTCGGAAGCAATTGCATATCATTTAAGAGCAAAGTTATGGCAAGAGCTGTGAAGAGACACCCTCCACCACGTGCTTGTTCAGACTGCGACGTGAAGCCAGGCCTTGTCTAAGAACACACCATTCTGCAGCTGCCCAACAGGGAAGAGCAGCTTTGACTGCAGAGGTTAACCTGTTCCTCACCTTGTGCCTACAGATCTACCGCCCCATGCAGGGTTAAGGTCAGTGCTGTTTTGTCACCTGTACGTGGTCAATGAGGAGCCAAGATGCTGATCTGCTGCGAAGGGCACTGCTGTGAGCGAGAGCACAGCGTTTTAAGCAGTGTGGAAACAGTTCAATCCCGAGCAATAAACCCTGCCCCAGCATGGTCCTTCTCGCACAAGGTGTGGGGAGAAAGGAGTTGCATCAGAAAGGAGGCAGCGGTCCTGGGACTGTAACTATAACCAGGCTGAAATATCCTTCTCCAGCATGCATTGAAACGAGTCACAGTAGCTACTAAGCTACAGCCCCAAATCTTGCAGTTAGAAAGACTTCAAAACTTTTTTGCAATAAATCCTCTTCATATACTACCCCTAACGATTAAAGCGGTTTCTGCCAAGTTAAACAGAAACAAGGGTAGATAAAGGATTTCTAGAAAGAAGAAACGCATGTTGATAAACATAATTTCGTGATTATAAACAGGAATTTGTGTTTTCCTTTGAAACAAGGAAACGGCTTGCTTATTTGAAACATTAAAAAGCGTTTTCTGGGGATCCCAATGCGCGCTAAACGCCAAGGCTGCCCCTCGCCGCGGCGCGCAGGCAATGGCCGTTAAACGGCCCCG